ATACAAATGAAGTTGAGAGGCATAATTTGATAGCAGGATCAGCTTTGGAAAAAAAAGTATTGTTTTTATTTTGCAAGTGCTGTAATATTTGTTGATCATTTTTTGTTCCATTAGGCCATAGCTAGATTTTGGGGGACCCTATCTCCCCAGGTCTGCATCCAGCACATTGCAAGTGGGAGCTGAAGTCCCCAAAAATAATGCTGCAGAGCTGGAAGGGACCCTATGGATAATCAAGTACAGCCCCTGTTGGGGAGGCACAGCGGCGAATTGAACTCTCAACCCCTGGTACCACAACCAGATATCTAAACCAGCAGTGCTCTAAGCTCTGCCCAAGATGTCATTTTATGTACAGACAATCAGCATTAACTTTGAGATTTCTTAATTTATAGATATGATAGGATGAATTATTACAGGATTCTGATGGTGGAAAGGATGTATTCTTGAAGAACTGAATGAAGCCTCCCATTTAGAATGTATAAACTGAAAGACCTTGGTCACATTCAAATCTATTTACTACATTTAAGATCTGGACGTGGCATCATAAAAAATTAAGTCCACATTCCTCTTGTTTAATTCAATTTTTTCCATCATCTATCATTTTTAAAATGAATATAAATAATCACAGTGTGGTCAATGGGAAATAAGGGTCTGTACTATTTGAAGGAAAGAACCCCAAAACTGTTACACAAATCAGAAATCAAATAGACTATATTGATCCCAGCTGGTTTTAGTTTTTACAAATTGAGCATTTCATTGGTATTTCCCAAGCAAAGGATTAGGCATGCAAGCCATTATCCAGTTTTGAATTACTATTATTTTATTCTAAAATGGAAGCAAAGAACTTTACTTCTCATATCTATAACATTCTGGTAGACTCAATTTACAGTGATACAATACACCATTAAAGAAGAGCTGTGAGTCAGATTTACAGATTCAAATTAATGATAAAGTTTGGCATTGAATGTGGCAAGTTTGCTCCATTGAAATCAGATTTGGCTAGCTTTAAAAAGGCCTAAAGTTACTCAATATACTGTGTTTGATCCCTCTTAGATTGAATTGCAATACTAAAATTTCCTCTCCATGTTTTGGAGGAATTGTGGTCAACTTGATTCCTGTTGTCATGTGTTTTCAAGTCAGAACCAAAGTATAGCGGCCCTAGCAGAACTTTCAAAGTAAGTGAGATATTTAAGGAGAGGTTCTACCAGTTCCACTCCCCCAGTTTCTAGAGCTGATCAGGAATTCAAACCCAGGCCTCCTGAGTCCTAGCTCATTACACTATCCATTACACTACACTGGGTATCTTGGTCAACTTGGTACTGACTAGAGACGGGGATGTTTGTATTCGTATATGAATACAAATATCCCCCCACAGGTGGAAATAATGGGACTGTCCACTCACCATTCTGCTGCAGAAACGCGCTTGATGGAGCCTTCGTATCACACCATTGTCCTCAATGGATTAGCCACTCCAGCAGGAAGCGGGATGACAAGCGTCTCTGCCAGGTTGCAAAGTAGCTAATCCATTGTGGACAACGGTGCGATAGGAAGGCTATCCTTCATTATTTCCACCTGTAGGGGGATATTCATATACAAATATGAATACCCCCATCTCTAGTACTGACCTATATTTATGGTGGGATTGCCCTATATTTCTGAGTCTTGGAAACTTATTTTAACTGAATTGGAAGTTATTACCCATCAATAATATTGATGTCCCCAGTAATTGGTATTATTTCATTATTTACTGATGAAAATCAGCATTTAGATCATTGAAATATTCTGTTTCTACTTTGTCTAGCTGCTAGAATATTAATTGAAACAAATCTGAAAACAGATAATAATCTTACAGTATCTGGATGGGTGAAAAAAGTTTGGCATTTGGCTCTTATGGAAAAAGTACAATCACATGTTTGTGTTAATCACTCTGTATACATCAGAAATAATTTTCTAGATGTGTTGTCTCACTTTATGGTATATGTATGTAAGAGCTCTCCTCCTTCATCTTCCATACATGCTAATTTGTAGAATGATATGTTTGGAATATGGGATTACTTCCATATGAGTTTTTGTTTTTTGTTCCTTTCTATGTGTTTGTTTCATTGTGGAAATTTATGATTTCTTTTTCTTTTAATAATATTTTTTTAAAAGAGTCTGATGTTATAAAGTTTGCAATTATTTTGTCATTTTATGATTCTACATGTTGCAGAAGGAGTAAACTACTAATTTCTAATTGCTATACTGATGTCTAATGTTCAAGATCCTAGGTTTGTTTGTAGACATATCCTGAGAAAGATGAATGTGTCAAATATTGAATTATTCCATTTTTTTTTAAAAAAATAAGGTTCCGTAATAAGTATATAGTTTTGTATTGCAATTTATTCATATCTATATATTACATATAAATGGTCTAACTTATAGGTAAGTGGATATTTATTTATTTATTTATTTATTTATTTATTTATTTATTTATTTATTTATTTATTTATTTATTTATTTATTTATTGTATTTATACCCCGCCTATCTAGTCATTTTGACCAACCTTGGTTACTTCGTTACATTGGATTTTTAAAATGTTTTCCATTAAAATTACTAATTTATTATCCAAAATCCACAATGATTTCAAACTTACAGTAACCACCAATACTGATAATACTCTCTTTTAAAATCTGATAATCAATGTGTACTTAGATAACACTGTTCCACTATTTTGCCAGAATACTTGTCCATGTTATTAACATTTATTTATTTATTTAAATTTGCATAGGTCTACTATGGAGGGACTATAGCTCAGTGGTGCAGAACATGTGCTCTCAATGCAGAAGGCACCATTCCCTGGTCAGACCCCACCGTTTCCCCTTAGAACAGAGATGGGAAATGTGCAGCTTTCCAGAGGTTCTTCGGCTACAGCTCCAGTCATCCCTCATCGCTAACGATACTAGCTAAGGCTAATGAACATTGCAGTCAATGAACCTTTGGAGCATCACAAATTTCCCAGACAGCAACCATAGCAGAAAACCCATCTGCAGCCCTGGAGAGCTAGTGATGTATGAAATAACCATATGCCTTTTCAGTCCTGCTACAAAAAGTTGAAAATCCCATAAAAGCAGATTTTGGGGCAGCATGGAAGTTTGGCAGGTGGCACTAGAAATTCCCACCCTTGTTGCAATAGCATATCTCCCATCATTCTCATTGTCGGCTATACTGGCTAAGGATAAAAGAGCTTGAGTTCAAGCCAAATTTGAATGACCGCAGATTCCTCCTAACAAAGTTTTAAAAGATCAGGTAGGACCTCTGCATGAGGCCCTGGAGAGCTGCCCTGCCCTGCTCTGGAATGCTGGAAAATTCTCCAGAAATAGGATATCAGGGTGCATACAAGGCTGTGGTAGTAGGAAGTCCCTTTTCAGTAGCAGACAACTGTTAGTGTAATGTTAGATCTAGGCTTAAGTCTCCAGGCAGAATCAACAGGCATCAAGAATACTGTACAACCTTGCAAACAACGAGTATCTAACTCAGCACTTCAAAAACTTTCTTTTCTGGACTATAGCTTCTGGAATCTCACTAATGGTCATGTTGGCTAAGGAATTCTAGAATTTATAGTCCAAAATGTAACAAAATGTAATAGAAAAACCATTGGAAGTCTCAATAGCACTTCACTTTTAAATATTGTATAGATTTGTGCTGCAGTTACTTATTTTTAAGTACATAAATCAGTTCTGAGAAAAACTGGAAGGGTAGCAAACAAACTCTGGAAGGAATAAGTTGAAAATGATTTATTTGGATGTTACATAAAAATAAGAATCAACAAACAATTACCATTTGTGGGTAAAGAGCTCTAGGAACATTTCTAGGTTTCCTCCTATTCTTCTCCCTTCTGTCACTTTTACTATTGAGTTGACATGATTGCTGGATTGTCACAGGACTTAATCCCAGTTCTTTTAGATTTTTGCCTCTGCATTCTCCCTGTGTGTGATCTCACTTATTCACGGTCAGTGTTACCACATTTACATAAAGTTTATTTATTTCGTGAATACTCAAGTCAAATTTTTACATGTTGAGATATCAAGTCGATTCATCATACATATAATCCTGATACTAAATCACAGTAATTTATGCTTGTTGCTGCTGCTGCTGTTGAAAAAAAATCATCTGTAATAGAATTTGACTGAATAATTACTTTATGTAACACAATTTGTGACCTTGGGATTTAGGTCTGTGAACAATTAATATCAAAGTCTTTGTAGCACAGAAATGAAAAGAAAAAACTACTGCCATTTCTTTCCTTTTGGAATGAGTGTGACTAATGTTGTTTAAATGAGAATTTGTATTTCATGGTGAGAAGTAGCATATATTGCAATATAGGTAAATGGAAGAAAGCTTCTGTGTAGATATCTGGAAACAGTTTTCCCCCCAGTAATCCTGGCACATGAAAAGATTAAATTTACAGAATGCAATAACTCATGGCTTTTAATATCCGAGTCAACATTAAAGGATTCTGAAATAAAATGAAAGTGTCCTTGTTTCTCTTTTGAATGGGCCCTTCATTGTAGCACTTTCTACAAAATTAGCAGCTCTTCCCCCTCTAAATCCTCTACACAGAAGGAATTAGGAGGACATTGTGGGACCAGAATCTTAAGAGGCTGAAAATCTTTTAGACTCATTGTAATCTGTTACAGACTTCATAACAGATACACGGCTTAAGATTTATTGTAGAAATTAATTTACAGGTGAAATGTCAGATGGATATGTTTCTGATGAATTTTCAAACAAAATGAATTTCAAAACAATTTCCATTTGTCAGAGGAGGGACAGAGGCAGAGACATAATGTATGAATAGGCAGGAAACCTGTAGTGTCACTTTCCTTATTTATTTTTTCCCAACCTAACCTTCTTGAAACTATACAGAAATGCAAATTGTTTTGAATGAAATACAATGTATCTTAATTTACTGTAATAAATTCTACATTTCTAAATCTCTCTCTCTCTCTCTGTCTCTCTGTAGACTTTTAAGGGCTCAATCCCTGGAATGGTACTACAATAATGTGAAAAGTCGCTTCAAGCGTTTTGGAAGCGCTAAAGTCTTAAAGAACCTGTACAGAAAACATCAACTGGAGACTGGAGCTTATTCAGACATGCTAGGTAAAGAGAAAATAACAGTTACCAAAAGTCCTGTACAAAACAAGATTGAGCTGCAATTCTGAAGAAACTAGTGCCAGAGGTTGCCTCACAAGCCTTGTTGGTTTCTTGTTGACAGAGCAGAAGTGTAAAGAGAGCTGTTTGTTGTCTTGTTTGTACCTGTGTAGCTCTAAAAAAAATCCAACAGAAATTAAAACTTTGAAACAAAACCATCACCCTCTTCACCCGCTGAAATACTTCATCCATTCACAGCAGTAGGAGGCTACTTCATTTAAAGCAGACTCAGTTTTGGTCTAATTCTTCCCAACCCCACATTGTGGGTATGGTTGAAGATTGGTAAAGCTGTAGATCACATCCATAGTTACTGGGAGCAGTCGGGTGTGGGTTGGAGATCAGAGCTCCACCGTAGGGATGGGTCTGTATTGACAACTATAAAAGGGAATTTTCACTCTGTCCTGTTCTCTCCAAGGGCTATTTGAGGCTTTATTGTAGCATATTCTTTTAATAAAGCAGAGATGCAAGAAATGCTGTTCTTATTTGCCATCTATATGTGCATGGAGAGAGAGAAATGGGCCCAAATGGCAATGGTTGAAATCCTGTTGCTTAATCCATGTGGAAGGCAATTGACATAACATTCAGTCAATTCCATCTGGCAGCTAATAAATTCCCACTGGAATTCATCTGCCAAGCCTTTGCAGTGGGCATATTGGGGATGTGGTGCAGTGTTACATGGGAGAACCATCATGAACCCCATCTGCACCGCTTTTTTATTTTTAAAAAACATTTTATGCACAGTTTTGGATGTGCAATTTTTATTAATGGTTTTAAAAAGATTTGTAAATCAGCATATGTGCACAGAGAAACAAAGATGAAAAAACAGAAGACACAATGGCAATTGAGGGGGAATGGGAAGGTGGACAACAGGGGGTGGGGGTGGGGTAGGAAAATGACTGGAAGTTAAAAAAAGGGTGGTCCTGTACCTCCAGAAACTGCTGTGTTCATGTAAAATTTGAAGTGAAAGACAACTGTCTTAGGCACCACTTTGAACTGGAGTAGGCTTGATATGGCCTAATATGCCAAAATTCACTGTGGCTTCAGTCTAGTTTTTTCCAAGTGTATAGTTTCAGCCAAAGTGACCTTTCATAACAATAGCAACCTGTGGCTAACTCAGTTGTCCAGTTTTTATAGTTTAATTAACAGCTTAATGGAACCGGACACAGGTTTCTCTAATCATACCAGAGCAGGTTGTTGTGAGTTTTTTGGGCTCTTTGGCCATGTTCTGAAGGTTGTTCTTCCTAACTTTTCACCAGTCTCTCTGGCTGGCATCTTCAGAGGACAAGAGTAGCACTCTGTGCTCTGGTGCAGTTTGTTCGGGAGTTGAGTATTTATAGCTGTGGGATCAGCTTTTTGTCCTTTTCAGGAGATGGGTGATTATGGTGATCAATGTTTTTTTGTTGTGGGTGTATTGTTGTGATAAGGAGGAGAGATTATCTGTCACTGTGATTGATGGGTGTGGTTAGCTGGTCTTTTGTGTGTAGTGATCACTGGTCCTTGTGGCTGGGTAGAATTCGTTGACCTTTTGCAGGCTGTATTTTTCAGTGCTGAGAGCCAAGCTTTGTTGAGTTTTAAACTTTCTTCTTTTTTGTTGAAGTTCTGCTGGTGTTTGTGGATTTCAGTGGCTTCCCTATGCAGTCTAACATAATGATTGCTGGTGTTGTCCAGTATTTCAGTATTTTGAAATAGAATTTCATGTCCAGCTTGTTTTAGGGCATGTTCAGCTACTGCAGATTTTTCTGGTTGTTTTAGTCTGCAGTGTCTCTCATGTTCTTTGATTTTGGTGTGGATGCTTCATTTTGTGGTTCTAATACCTGGCCACAACTGCAAGGTATCCGGTATACTCCTGCAGTGGTGAGGGGGGTCCCTTCTGTCCTTTGCTGACCATAACATTTGTTGTATTTTTGTGGTGGGCTTGAATACTGTTTGTAGTTTGTGTTTTTTCAAAAGTTTCCCCATGCGATCCGTTCCCCCATTTGATGTATGGCAGAAATATTTTATTTGTTGGTGGCTGTTTTTCTTCTTCAGTTTGGTGTTGTTTTCTTGGTTTGATGGCTCTTGTGATTTCATTTTTGAAGTAGCCATTTGCCTGTATGGCCCAATTCAGATGTTTGAGTTCAGTGCTGGGAAACAGCTTCACAGTTCCGATTTGCACGGTCTACCAGTGTTTTGATTATGCCTCTTTTTTGCTGTGGGTGGTGGTTGGGGTTTTTGTGTAGGTACTGGTCTTTATGGGTGGGTTTTCTGTAGACCTTGTGTCCCAGTCGGAGGTCAGTTTTGCGTAAGACCATGACATCTAAGAACAGCAGTTGGGCCTCTATTTCTTTTTCCATGGTGAATTGTATATTTGGGTGGATGCTGTTGAGATGGTTTAGAAATTCTTCCAATTTTTCTTCACAATGGTTCCAAATTGCAAAGGTGTCATCCCCATATCGGAACCAGACTGTGGGTGCGAAGGGTGCCAAAGCCAGGGCCAGTTTTTCGAAATGCTCCATGTAGAAGTTTGCTATAACCAGGCTGAGGGGGCTCCCCATGGCCACTCCATCTGTCTGTTCAGTAGGTCCTGGCCGTGAAAGCCTTTGTGAATACAATACCAGAGCAAATAGAAAAGCATTTTTTTATTCATTTGAGTTACCTCAATTTCAATTTTACTTTCTGTCTGAAATTCCTTTGTTTTAAAATAAGTTTTCAAGTCAATAGTAGATGTGTTTTGGGAAATGGGAATGTTATCTCCTTGAATTCTAAATGTTGTTGGATGATTTGTGTATATTTATTCATTTGTAGAGAAAACCTGTGCACTCTGCATTTGTGGCATTCTTATGTTTGTGTCATTTAGAGTAGTGGTCCCCACCCATGGACCTCCAGATGTTATTGGACTTCAACTCCCAGAAACCCTGGCCAGCAAAGGCAGTGGTGAAGGCTTCTGGGAGTTGTAGTCCAAGAACATCTGGAGGCCCAAGGTTGGGGACTACTGATTTAGAGGGCAAGCGAGGGCTGTTGGAAGTTAAAGATGTACGAGGAGGCAAATAAGCTCCTGATATTGTGACTGATGTTAGATCAGAGCTGAGAAAAGTTAGCTTTTTGAATTATAACTCCCAGATTCCTTCAGTGAGAGTGTTCACTGCTGATCCTATGTTTTTGAGAATTATACTCCAAAAAACATAAACTCCCCATCTCTATGTTAAATTTTGTAATCATATTGTCTCAGCAGTTTGTTGTAGGATCTAAATGCTGTCCAAAATCCTGTTGCTTTGCTAGAGATGGGAAGGCCTCTTTTTTTTGGTTGGTTTTTCCTAGAAAAATTGAAAAATAGATATGGAGTGTAGAATATGTTCTTTTACAATGATAAATAATATGTCTGTGACATGGTATTCAAAATATATAACATGAAGACCTTAATGAAAGACTTCTGAGACTTTATGTATTTAAGTTCTCTCAGCTGAAGACAAGCAAATCCTGGAATACAGTTTAAGTGGTCTGTACTTTTCCATGCAATTCTCAAATCAGAGAAATATGCATTTCTCTAGAGGGCACTGCAAGGGAAAAAGTTCAGTTTACTTTGCTTGTGAGCTTCATCTTGTAAGCACCCTCCTACAGTGGGTGATTATTGGTGTACAGTAGATGTTAGTTTCTGTTAATTGACAGATAAGAGGTTAAATTTGTCTGACAAATTGGTTTATCTTTATAACCTTTATCTAAATTATTCCTATTAATGTTCTTCCCCATCACAGGTCCCTGTCATGTGTTTAAAAGAATAGGCTATGTTAACTTGGTCTAACCTCCTTTCTGTTGTGCAGGAGTTATGGTTAAGGGCTACAGTCTGCAGAGGGGAAGAAATATTGGGTGAGACATTGGAAGAACGAACCAGTTCCTGGTGGTTCAGCACACTTGTAGTGGTTCTCAGTCTCAGTCTCGGAACCCCCATGTTTGAACATCAGTTCTGAAAACCCCATCATTGGCCATGCTTCTTTGTGGCTTTTAAGAACTGAAATTACAACATTTGGAGGGCCAAAGTTTGAGAACCAATGTCTTAGCATACTTTCCTTTTTCTGGCAAGCATGACAGGAGCATTGCTAGTCATATTGTTGCTATGTCTGTGGCAGAAAACTCTCCTTTAAACTGTATTGTTAAGACCCCATTTTCTCTCTCAGAATTTCTCTCTTTCATGGTCACAGCAAGCTCCTGCTTTTACAATCTTCCCTGCATAACTATAAGATATAGTACTTGTTCCATTTGATACTGAAGCAAGATTAATTTTTTAATCTATGAAATGATGCCCTTTATAATCCATGATCTATTTCATTTCCAGAATGTCACGTTCAACACAAATCCTCTCCACGAACATTCTGTATGCAATCTCAATTTATTGTTAACTCTAGGTTCTCTCTTTTACTCAGCAGACATTATCTGAATCCAGAGATTAACCCAGTATATGAAAATATTTTCACTTTGGAAGGAATTTTTTTTAAAAAACCTATAGATTATATGCAGTATTTCTAACTGAATGTATTTATGTTAAGGATATTTAGCAGCCATCCGTTTTGAAAATGATGCACTTAGAAATTACTGCCGTATTCATCAATGATGCTTTTGTCCTGATGCTAAATATATGCTGTTACACAGTATTAATAATACTAATGGTGGTCTTATTTTGAGCAGAAGTAGGAAGTTTATGCGAGGGGACTATAGAAAATGAAGGAAGCATATGTGGCAGTGACTCTACTTTCTACAGGCAGACGGAAGGTAATTCTGTGTGAAATGTTGTTTTTACCATAACTAACTGCTTAAATGGAATAAAAGTAGATTTAATAACTGGAGGATAGCTGTGTCTCCTCCATTTGATATCATGCCAAGTGATTTTAAAAGCTGCTTATATTACAGGCTAGAGCAGAGAAAAGCTACTGTTTTGTTTTGTTTTTTAGCTCTCAGAATCCTCTGTGACTGGTAGCTGTGCCACCTGGGGAAGTTTAGAAACAGTGGTCCAAAACTGTAGCTTTCCCCAGCTCTGTTTTAGGCCTGTTAATAGCCCCTTCTGTTTGCCTATGACAGGTGGGAGTTTTTATTGGTTAGGATGGGCAGTATTTGTGAAACTGCTGTTATTTCAATAGCCTTTTGACCACATTGTTTGGAATGCAGGCTCTTGCTGGTCAGTGAACATGGCTGTATTTTGCCCCTTTCTTCTAATGTAGTTCAGCTGTCCATTTACTTGATTGTGTTTTCTCTGATCAGGGAAACTACTAGTTAGCTGAATGATAGTCCACCTTATATGTGGCAGGCATTCCTACTTCTAATGAAAATGATTTCCATTTACATAATAATTTATTTATGGATGATTGAATGGATATGTAGACCTTCTTTTTCTCTTTGGAAGGACACAGCCAAAGCAGCTCATAATAAAAGAGAAGCTAAATAATATAATCAGGGGAAAAATTCTTTTCCCTACAACACTAAAGCTCAAAGTAACTTTGGAACCCCTCTGTTTAACTTTGTACAATTGCTGCATAATGAGGAGTCATGTGGGGCTGTTTGCTGGATAGCGTTACCCTCTTTCCACCTATGATCCAATGCCATGTAATAGGTATGGAATTCCTGGATTTTTTTCAGTAAAACTGCCAGAATTCAGCAGAAATTATCTCAGCTAGAGATAAGTAGTAGTTGGGCCAAAAAAGTCCACGTTCTTAGAGACATTTCAGGATCTTCACCTGTTCATTACTAAAGTTCTCTGCAGTGATGGTCATCTGGAGAAGGACATGGGTGGAGTTTTCTAAGCTCCATGGGAATTGCAAAGCACATGGGATGGCTTTTTGAGAGTTTGAGTTTGATACTTTTTGAGAGTTTGAGACTTTTTGAGAGCCTAATGAACAGACTAATGATTTGTTTAGAAAGCTTGCTTGGAAAGCTCCATCCGCCTCTTTCTCCAAGCTTAACGAGCCATCACTGCAGAGAGAACTTTAACAGGGAATAGGTGAAGGATCCTGAAACTCCTCTGAGAACCTGGATTTTTTTGGCCACAACTACGTACTTGAATCCTGGCTGGGGCAATTCCTGCTGAATTCTAGTAGATATAGTGGGGAGGGGGGGGGAATCTGAAAATCCCATGTCTACCATCTGAGTTGCATAAATTTAAAGGCAAGCTTTTTTTCTTTTAGAAAGCAGAAGAATGGTTCTCATCAACTTTAATTGTTCCTTTCATAAATGTTATACTGACTTGGCTGCATTTTTTGCCTAGGACATAGCATGATGGACATCCTTGCTGTGGCTTTGCGTGTTGCAGAAGAAGCAATAGAAGAAGCTATATGTAAGGCAGAAATGTATAGCAGCAACAGCTTGGTAAACATACTTTAGTTACATTCATATTTTTGCAGAGTTTTTTTTCTCCCATAAAAATAGTTTCTGCTTAATTAACTGTACAGAACACTCAGATCTTCATCACCATAGGATTATTCCCATTATTTAAAAGCACTGTAATGTATATATCCTCATTATTTCACTACAAATTATTTCAGTAGCATACCTTTTAGACTGCAAAAAACAGAGAGACAAAGAGATATGTTCTGAACTGGCAAACATTACCTATCCTCCAGTTTCAGCTAGTATAGCCTGAGGATGTGGACAAGGCACTTGCATGCTACAAAGCCACTACTTCGCTAGATCCCTTTGTGACTCTTTAAATCTGGAAAGGAAATGACAGTAGAATAGGCTACTCACATCACTAATGCTTTCCAACAGGAAATGATTATAAAGCCCATTCCAGAGAAACTCAGTTTAGGAATAGCTGATCTTAACAACTATAGGCCTGTTGCCAAAATTCCACTCCTGGGTAATTTGATTGAGAGGATGATGGCTGATCAGCTGCAGGTGTTCTTGGAGGAAAAGGATAGTATTAGATCTATTCGAATCAGGGTTCAGGCCACACCATGGGATTGGAACCAACCTTTCCCTTCTGAAATAAGCTTCCTACAGAGGCTTCCGGGGCACCATTGCTCCCAGTTTTTAAGAAGCTAATTAAGACTGAATTATATGAACTGCCTTCCACTAGTGTAATTTTGGCCTGAAATGCGCAAATGGGTTTAATTTGTGTATTTTTATTTAAAAGTAGTTTAAGCTAGTGACAGGGTTTAATTGTATTATATTGTATTTATTATATATTGTGGACTATGTTTTAATGGGATATTGTAAACTGCCCAGAGTGGTGCAACATTAACGGGGTGGTATAGAAATGGAAATAAATAAATAAATACATTAAGTGATGGCAGAGACAGATGGATCTGGAAAATCTTAGACATGCCTGAATCAAAGAGATACCATGAGCATTTCACACCATTGTAAAATTTACATTTGTAACTCCCAGAAACTTCCAGCGACAATCCTGGTTGAGGTGATTTCTGTGAGCTGTAGTGTGAAAAATAACTTTTCTAAGCTCTGTTTTAGGCATACGTCTTGCTACTGACACTTCTCTACTACTTGCTGGAGTGTGTGTGACATTTGGAAAAGTTAAGTAGCATCCAATCAGATCAGAAAAATCTACCGTTCTCTGTCCTCCAACCTCACTACAGTATGAAGGCAGTAGCCATCTGCACTAGTTGCATCCCTGGAGGCTATTAAAAGCAGGTTCTCCTAGTGCATAGCATTAATGAAAAAGTCATCAGTCCTTGGTACTTCTCAGCTGAAGATACTGCTAGTGCTAATAGACTGGCTTTGCCAATACTTGTCAAGTTTCTTTATTGGATAATTTTAATTCCTTTTACAGATAGCAGAGAATCAGGTACAAACAACTGTACAGAGAAAGCATGAGAGAATGGCTTAAGTCTCAGTAGCCTACCCCTTTTCATGGTGACTAGCGCTTTATATGTTAAAAATCACTCGTGAAGCATTTTAATTGGAAAAGGGTATCTTTACTTTACTTACGTTGCTTTCTATAGTTGCGAGCAAACACGGTGTTCGTTGCTTTCTATAGTTGCGAGCAAACACGGTGTTCGAATACATCTGCGTAAGCCTGGACAGAGAGCAATCAGGAGTTTGCACACGCTAAAATGGGCTGAGTGAGTTCAAACTCAGCTAGCCATGCTACAACACTCCATCTTACAAGTCTGCCCACATAAGAACACCCTTGTACTCTCAGATATTACTGTGAAAAGATCAAGTGGGCTTTGTAGTCCTTAGACTTAACTTGCACCACTGGCTGGACTCCTTAAGTATGCTAGGCCAAGGCAGCACTCTCAGATGACCCTAAGACAAGTGTACTGTTCAGAAAACCAATTGAGTTTTATAATCTTTA